TTTATAGTATAAGGAACTTCCCTGTCATTTAAACGATTAACGATGTGTCACCTGATTACTTTAGTGTACTGCGGGTGAAGCTCTTTATCAGTAGGAAAAGTTGTACAAAAGTTGTCAGTGCAGTGGGCTGCATTGAAGTCTTTGTCGTGGCGATTTTGGCTTTGGTTTAAAACAGTATTCATTATAACATTGTGCGCAGCTCTCTGATCTGTTTCTTTTTAGATTCCCCTTTAGTTTTCTACACCGTGCATAATAGGTATGTCAATTCAAACTGTTCTACCATGTTTGAATAGACATTTAGGAAAAGAAATAGAGTAGGGGTTAGAAATGAGTTTATTAGGGTGGCAACTCAGGTTGAACAGTTTGGAGAAGAAATGTTTTCGTGACTGCTCATACAAGGGAACTCGTGTTTCTTTGTTTTGTTTTGTTTTTTAAATTGAGATTAATTGTATCAACACTGTTTTCATGCAAGAAAGTTTATCTTTATTTTACAAATTACATTGAACAAGTAGGGGACATAAAGAACAATTTCTCAGTACACAAAATTAAAACCATATGTTTATTACATTCAGGTATTTGCACACAGCCATTGAGCTTCTCACTCCTTTGGTGTTTTCTTCAGTTTGGTCTTTAGCTCTGCCATCAGGGGATTTCCAAATCCTCTGTGGACACAGAAGAAAAATAAATAAATACATTTTTAAAAAGTCAGAAACAGGACGTGTCTTTTCTGGTGACTGTTTTTTTCCCCCCCTTTTGCCATCCTTACCCGGGATGTTTTGGTGGCATCCATTTAGGCTTCTTCGGTGCCTCCTCCTCCTCCTGTGGGGGAGCGTCGTTCTTCTCCTCTGGCTTTGTTTCAGGTTCCTGTGGTAATTCCGTCATTTTAATGATACATATATATATCTTAACTTAAGTGGGGGAAAAAAACTGGTATTTAAACACTCTTAGCAGTACCTGTGACACTGTTTCCTGGGTATTTTCGTCTCTCACTGCCCGCTGTGTCTTTTTTAAAACAGGAAATCCAGCACCGAGCCCTAAGAAAAGCAAACGTGTGAAATTATTTGGAAGTTGTGAAAATAACAGGATATAAATACCAGAGAAAGTCTTAATAGACTATCAAGACTAAGATATTGGGATTCATGTATCATGAGTGACCTACCAGGGAGTTTTATTCCAATTCCTATGCCTCCTAAAGGCACACCTCCAGGGAGTTTGACCGGCAAACGTGAAGATGGTGTAGGTGTGGGTGTGGGTTCCTCCGAGGGCATATGGAGCAGGGAGCGGGGATTTTTAGGTGGCCTTACACGAGGGTTCTTAACAGCAATTCGTGACCTTTGCACAGCAAAGTCCAGCACGGGACCATCCACCTGTAATGCCCCAAAAGTCTGTTATGAACATTGTTTGATTTTAATCAAAATTTTTTTTATGCCATATAGAAACAATACCTTATTCTCATATTCGATTGTTGGCTCTTCGGCTACCTGGGCCTCGTTTAGCACAGGAAATAAGGATGAATGTGCAGGCTGTGGTCTATTCAGTGTGTCCTTCTCAGGTTCACTTTGTGAGTCACTTTCAGATTCTTCAGACTCAGCGGGTTTGAGTTCATCTGAAGAATCAGACGCGGTTACCTCAAGATGCTCCTCCTCAGCTTCTACCTTCTTGTCATGCGAAGGAGAGCTCTGTGTTGTCATTGTTGTTACATCTGCTTCTTCAACATCCTCATATGCTTTCTGTGATCCACTTTCAGTCTCTAATGTTTCAGCTCTTTCTTCTGCTTTTTCTTGAGATTCCTGTTTCAGATGTGATTGAGCTTCTATATCAGCGACCGATTCTTTCTCTGTCTCGGCTGATTCCTCTGTCAGTAAGTCCTGAGTTTGAGGCTGTGCGATAACTCCAAAGATGTCTGTGGACACGCTAGCCACCAGCTCATGGATCCCCTGGAGTGAGTCAGTGCTCGTTGATTTCAGCAGCTGAGTCTCACTACTCTGAATACACGATTCACTGAGAATCTGGTCCAAAAATCCAGACTCCACAGTTGATGAAGACATTTCTGTGTCACTTACTGCCTCAGATTCCCTACAAATGGCCTCTGCTAGTGACACTTTCTCATTCTCTGTTGATATTTCACCCTCATTTAAAGTGTCTGTTTTGGCGTCCAATAGCTGCCCTGGCTTGGGCTCTTCTTGTCTAATCTCATCAGTGTCCTCTGACATCACCGCCTCAATCCACAAGTCAAGGATTTCTTCATCAATTACGTCTTGATGTCCACTGACTGAACCGCCTTTTTCCTCTGATGATGTCACTGGCAAATCCACTGGTCTGGGCTCGTCAGCTGTTTCAGCTACTATTATTTGTGTCTCACTTATCTCAAGTGCTCTGTGTGGCGACTGATTGTTTATCTCCTGAGTCTCAGAGTGTTGAGATATTTCCAATTCTGCATTCAGAGGAATCTCTTTGTCTCCTCTTTCTGTGATTAGCTCACCTGCAGTTTCTTTAGTTATCTGTAAATCCATTTCATTTAAGGTCTGGATTCCATTTTCTGCTTCCTCCTCTTCATCTTCACAACCCCTTCCTTCTTTTTCAATGGCTTTATCTTGCATTTCAACAGAGGTATCATCAACGGATATAGGCTCAGTTTCAGCTAAGGGTCTCACAAACCCATGTTCACTCGTGTCTTCTTGTAAACTTAACGGTCTGCTGATGCTTTGATCCAACTTTATGGCTGCTACTGACTCCTGAATGACGAATCCAACCACTTCTGCTGCTGCAACCGCTTCTCTTGTTTCACCTCCTGTAGATCCTCTGCCACCATCATGCAGCCCTTCTGATCTCCTTTCAGTCTCGTCCACTAAACCAACATGTGTTCCAGTCACCTCTGTCTTCATTGAACTTGTCAGTAATTTTCCTTCTTCTTTGTCAAGTCCCGATTCTTGAATTACTCCTTCAACAAGCTTGCTCTCTGCCTCTAGTTCAAGGTCCGGTGTTCCTTCGTGCTCCTCCACAAACAAACCAAAGCTCGTCTCAGTCTCTTCTTTGCTTTCTTGTTTGTCTTCCATGGACTCCTTCAGCAGTAAATGGTCAGCTCCAGTCCTGCAGTCACTGTTTTCAAGGCTCTCCTGATCTCCGCTCTCCACCTCTTCTGGTAATTGAGTTGCGAGGATTTCCTCACAATCTCCTGCTTCCAGGAACCTTTGTGTTGTATTTTCATCGGCCCTCCGAAGCTCATTGTTATATTTGGAAACTCCCTCTTGAATTTCCTCACACGTTGGAGTATTTAGTTCCTGCAGCACGGCACACTGGCCTTCACTGATCCCCGGGAGAGTGTTTTTAAATTCTTCGTCTGTTTCCTGCGTCGTTTCGCCTTTGGGCTTTACTGTAACTGAGGTGCTTGAATCTATAATTTCGTTGTAAAATTCTCCGGTGTAGGATTCACTGGAGACGCTCTCCTCTTTTTCTTGGTCTTGATCAATGAGTCTCTCTTCTGAAATATCTGTTACTGTCCCACCGGCCTGCCTAGTTTTGGTCTGCACTCCTGGGACTCTCATATCCTTCTCGTATTCATCTGTGAATCCAGCTGTGTGCAGCTGTGAAGCAGTCTTCAGTGCAGCTTCTTTACCGGATAAATCATATTCAGTTAAAAGATTTTCTCCTTCAGTGTCTTCTGCTTCTGTTCCGATGTTCTCGTCCAGATTTGGCACTTCTGTTGTCTCGTTGACGGCATGCCGCTCTGTCTCAACCCACTTCTCTTTCTCACCTTCATCATTTTCACTGCTATGAGTCATTGCATAAGATTTTGTGATAACAGTGAGCATAACCACTGATGTGTCTGGCTGGTCTCCAAAAGCTGAGAGCTGATTTTCAGCTTGACTTGTTTTCTCCTCTGACTTGATTACATTTTGAGAGTCCAGTTGTAGCATAATATCACAGGCTTCTGATTCTAAACCTTGATCATCTTCATGCTGCATTTTATCATCTTCTTCCTTTAACTCAGTTTCTTTAATGTTATCTGTCATTGGATGATCTTCCAGTGTCATTACATCATTTTTCTGTACCTCTGCCTCCTCTTCTGGACTTACATCTGTACCTATGCACACTTTCACCTCAGTGTCGGTTTTATCATTGTCCTCTGCTTCCTCAACACTTTCTGGCTCTAAATCTTGTTCATCTTCATGCTGCAGTTTATCATCTTCTTCCTCTAATTGAGTTTCTTTGCTTTCATCCTCTCTTGGATGTTCATCCAGTGTCGCTGTATCATTCTTTTGTACTTCAGACTCTGTTTCCTGCAGGTGATCATTATCATAATCATTTAGGCTTAAACTTGTGCTAATGCACACTTTTATCTCAGTGTCTTCTGCTTCCAAATCTGAATGATCTGTTTTTTCATCTTCTTCCTTTAAGTTGTCTTCTTTGAACATTTCATCTTCTATTGGATGATCTTCCTCTAATTGAGTTTCTTTGCTTTCATCCTCTCTTGGATGTTCATCCAGTGTCGCTGTATCAGTTTTCTGTAACTCAGCCTCTGTTTCCTGCTTGTGATCATCCAGTACTGGACTTATATCTGTAGTTATGCACAGTTGGACCTCAGTGCCCTCTGCTCCTAACTGCTGTTCATCTTCATAGTCTGTTTTTTCATCTTCTTCTGGTACTTCAGTGTCTTCTGCTTCCAAATCTTGTTCATCTTCATGCTGGATTTTATCATCTTCTTCTTCTAATTGAGTTTCTTCAGTAATTTTATCCTCTTTTAGATGATCATCCAGTGTCACTGCATCATTCTTCTGTACCTCTGCCTCTCCTTCGTACGTATGAGCCTGATCTTCTGGACTTATATCTTTGATACTTCGATACACGTTTATCTCTGGGTCTGCTTCTAAATCTTGCTCTTCTTCATGATGAAGTGTATCATCTTCTTCATTTATTTGGGTGTCTTTGATAATTTGGTCCTCTCTTGGATGATGATCTGGTGTCACCGTATCAATCTTTTGTACTTCTCCTTCTCCTTCGTGCACGTAATCCTCCTCTTTTGGACTTTTTGTCATGCATACTTTGAACGCGTTGTTTTCTGCTACCAAATTGTCATCATCACAGTGCATGTTGTTATATTCCTCTCTTACTTCAGTGGCTTCTGCTTCTGAATCTTCTTCCTTTTCATGATCTGCTTTAGCATTTTCTTCCTTCAGCCGGGTTTCTTTAACAAGTTCCTCCCTTCCTGAATGACCATCCAATAACACTGCATCATGCTCCTTTACCTCTCCCTTTCCTTTCTGCATGTGATCCATATCATCTGGACTTATACCTGCAGCTATGCATGCTTTTACCTCAGTTTTTTCTGCTTTTAACTCTCGCTCATCTTCACTGCGCAGTTTATCATCATTTTCTTCTTTTCTCAAAGTGTCTTCTGCTTCAAGGTCTTCCTTCTCTTTATCATGGGTTTGATCCTTTTCTCCTTTTACTTGGGTTTCTTTTATTTTTTCCTCCTTTGTTGGATGATCACCGGGCAACCCTAATCTCACTGTTGCATTCTCAGCATCAGTTTCCTCCTCAGTTGTTTCTTGGCGTGTTGCAACCTCGGACAAATTTTGTGGTCCAGAAGCGGCATGTTCATGTTCATCATTTCCGGGCCCTGCAAGTCCTGCACAAGTGGGCATTTTTTCGATCTCCATCGTGTGTCGTTCATCTTCTTTTGCTCTTGAATCATTTGAATGATCATTTCCTGTCTTGTCACGCTGTTCCTCTCTCTTGCCCTCACCATCCTCTTTGCTCTCGTCGACTTTTCTCAGCTGGGTTTTGTACTGCATGTTTTCTTCATCAACCCCTAAGTCGATTTCTGTGGTGCAAAGTTCCCATTCGACAACGGGGCGAGACGAGCTCAGCAGAGAGGATGTTGCGACAAGCTGCTCCTCCTCGACACCTTCTCTGCTACTGTCACCCTCTGTTGAGTCAGAGGGAGGGTGCTTGATTTCAGCTGCAGATTCCTGATTTGTGTTTGGGTCATTGTTGACAGTGTCAGCGGGCTGTGGCCTGATGAATCTGTTTACAGCTCCAGTTATGTAGTACTAAGAAAAAAAGGAAGGAAAAAGAAATTTGCATTATGTAACACTTTAATTTGCAGCATCAATAAAATCCAACAAAGACAAAAGTGTGAATATATTTGTTTTCCCCGCATTGATTTATTTTCAGTCATTCCAGGTAGTTTGTATAGCCCATGTTTTTTTTGGTTTGTTTTTTTTAAAGATGCACAAGTAGCATTTAAAGACTCTTAGTGTCACTGCATTCAAGGCTATTTACACAACAGTTTCTTTCCAGCTTTGCAGAAACTTCGTGGAAGTCTTTTCCTGTTTCAGCACCACAATACTCCCATGCACAAAACACAGCCATGAACAGGAAGAACCTGACCGGCCTCCATGGAATCCTGACTTCATTGATTATAAGTTACATTAGCTGCTAATGTATTAAAGTAAAAAGAAAAATTCAATGTAATAGACTTTAACCCTGTCAGTGCCCACCCCCC